TCTATCCACGGAGATAACTCTGCTGCGCCGCTCGATCCAACTTTTTGCCGGCTCGAATCGATCGCGTCGAATCTACGCTCTGTTTAACCGCTTTCCGTCCGGCCTCTCCGCCGACTTCCTGTCGCTCGTCGCCCGTCGCCCGTCGCCCGTCGCCCGCCGCGTCGCGCGTTCACAATCGACTTCCGGCCAGACTGTCGCGCACGCTACCGCGTACGTTTCGCATCCTACCGGCGGACAAAAGCGCGCCGGAAAACTACCGGCGAGGTTCCACCGTTCCGCTGAAATTTTATCGGTGCTCCGCTCCGTTCCGTTCCAAACGGGACACGGTTCGCGAAGGATGAATCGAGCCCGGCGATATCGCGGCTGAAAAATCGCTTTGTTCCTCGGCCGGCTTCGCGCGGCGGCGAAACGATCCGGACCGGTCCGACGGCGTTCTTTAAAATTCCACGTTTTCGTTCGCAGCGCCAGCTTTTCGACTCTGCTTTATCAAATTTCAAAACGTTGTTCCAAAAGTCTGACAACGTTTTCGCGAGATTCGCGGCGAATCGAATTCAGCGAGACGAACTACGAACGAGCGCGACCCGTTCTATTCGGAAACGTTCCACCGATCGAGTTTAACCCTTGGGCGACCAAGACTATTTATTTCCAGTTTACGCGCTGCCAAGTCCAGACTGTTTTTCAGACGAAGAGAAATTTTTTTACTGAAAATTTTTCTATCAGATATAGAGAAGAGATATTCATTTTTTAAATAAAACTTCGTTGATGTATTTTCATCGCGAAACAATCGCGCCTATTCCTCCAATGTTTCCTGCCAGATCTTACGGTTTTATCGATTTCTGCCGCGTGTACGGCGGCATTGGACCGTTAAGGGTTAAAACGCGCGGAAGACGCGAACGCCACCGTCGCGAAAGTCGAAGAAACGACTTCGTTAGGAATATTAAAATTCAGGAAGGAAGAAAAGCTATTGAACCGCACCTCCGTACAATCGAATCACGGTTAAACGAACGGTGTCTCGGTTCCTCTCGCAGCTTCGGCTCCCGATCAGGCATGGAGATCTCGCGCGTAAATTAATTTGTCGCAGACGAGGATTCTGTTAGGCGGTCGCGATAGGAATTCCGCGGTGCTCGCGCGTTTAGGCATCGCGGACGGCTTTTTGTCGGTGGTCGTGATCTTTTGTTTAGCCCATACAAGGCAGCACCGTAATTTTCTCGAAAGAAAGACGCGCTCCGGAGCACCGGGGAGAGGAGAGAACTCTCGCCGCGGCGGCCGCCTCGAGAGAGCATCGAGAGTCCCACAGCCGAAGCGAGGCGAGCCGGTCCCGGCCACGACTTTATTTCTCCATAAAGCAGAGTGAATTCTCGTTCTTGCCTCGGCCGGCCGCCAGATGATCGCCTCGTTTCGTGATTGCCACGCACTGGAAAATGATCGTCAGCCACGAGAACCGAAGACGTATTACTCTTCTTGCCACCGACACCCCGCTCGCCTCCCTTCGTCCCGCCGCGCTCCACCCGAGCGCGGCCTTTTATTTTTTCGTGGACGAAGCAGGGCCCCGCAGAAAGTCGTATAACTCATCCCCTCCGTTGTCTCCCGGCCGAGAGACCCCGTAAATTCGACAGCCGTTCGACGCGGTTATTTTTCCCGCCGACGAATCTTACCGGCACCGATTATCCTGTGTAATTTCTTTCGACGCCCGCGCGAGAAATTGCTCGGACAACATTTTTTTTTTCAATTCTACGTTACACGCTTTCGCTGGAACGTACGAAAGCCCGGTCTCGACCGCTCGCAACGACCGGAAAGAAATCGAAACGATGCGAGCACCGGGTAAACGAGCGCGCGTCGCCGTTGGTCCGCGTTGCGATTAACGTTGTTAAGATCGCGACTCGTGTCCGCGTTCGAAGAACCGTCGGTGCAAATTGCAGAATCGTGCCGGTTATCGGAACGATTTTGCCGCGCGCAGCTTTTGTCGGTCGATGGATTTTTAGCGACGTCTTAACGAGCGCCGGCTATTAGCGCGAGACGAAATCGTCGCGTCGCGCCGCGACGGGACTTTCGTTCGGCCGTCGAGCGTAGGACCGCGCGCGCCCGCGCCGAGCACTTTCTGCCGATTTACATTTACCGGTTCGCGTTCGCGATCTGTAATTTCGTGCATCGTTTTCGATAAGGATTCCGTAGAAAGTAGCGTGAAAGAAATTCCACGGATAACGAGAGAAGCGGCCGCGGGATCGAAACGCGATCGAAAGCGCCGACCGAAATCCCGGAGCGGAGCGAGCTGCTATCTAGCATCGCGACATCATCGTAAATTGGACGGCCGATATAGAAAGATCGCGCGCTCTCCGAAACGAGATCGTCGCGACGGCGTGTTTTCATCGGTCCGCTGATCAGCGATCGAAATTTATACGTTCCGATCGGAGAATTAGAAACCGGATCGAAAGAAGCACCGTCGGACGGTGGTCCGTGTCGTCGGAAACCACGAGCTGAAATCAAATTTTCCACTTTGGACGAAGGAATACCGACCCTGATAATTTTACCAACGGAAACGGACGAACCAAAGACGGTGAAACAGATTTTGAAGTCGATGCGTCGTCGCCGTTTCTAAATTTTGTTAGTAAATTATGTACCGAGTGTTATTATTATTATTATTATTAACATTAACGTTACGCAGTGGCTAAAACTTTGGTATTAGTCGTATAATTTGTATCGTAGAGGCTCCAGCGATGATGAGAATATTGTAAAAAATTTTACTCGATACCATTCGAGAATCGAGAACCATTTTGAAAATTTGTCGAGATCAAATTCTACGACTCGAAAACTTTACGAAACCACAGCTTTTATAGCGAACAACGTTAAAATAAAAGCGCTATGAATTTAGTTCGCGTTTCGAGCGAGTCTGACCGTCGTGTCGAACCATCCGATAAAGCTTCGTCGAGCGCGCTCGCTAAAACGGGCCTCGGATTATTCGGATTATGAGAGCGCCGCGCCGGTTGGACACGTTCTAATTACGTTCCGCTGGTCGCGTACGCGCGCGGCATTAATTACGCCGAAATCTGGGACGACGAGAAATCGTTGTTCGGCTGCCGAACGAAAGAATCGCTCCTGCGACGACCGAGCGGACGGAGTTCGCCGTAATTCCAGGCGTTTAAAGTTCGCGTCCGCTCGGCGAACAGCTAGAAACCGAGAACGCGTTCTCCCAGCGTGTAGCGGTGTAGCTCGTTCCCTTCGAGTACAGCGCGGATGCAGCTTTCGTAACGAGCGAAAGTGACGCGACCGCGTCTCCGTTTTCTTCTCCTCCCGCAGCGGGATCTTGGTTTCTTCGCAAATATTTGGAAAGCGTATCGTCCGACCTTCGAATCGACCCTTGCGCAACTCGACCGTCTTTCAACCCTTCGCGGCCCGAAGTCTTCGAAACAATTGTCCCCATACCCCTTTTTTCTAATTCTCTCGAGTCGAATCTTTTCACGAGTTGCAACCGGTAGGGTTGAATCGCGTAATCTTGGAGAGTCTCGCGACGACGATGGTACTCGGACTCGCAGAGCTCCGGCTACGCGCGCGGGAAAAACTTCGAAGATCGTCGAAGCGACGAAGCCGTGCGACGATACGCGACGCGAGGGACGCGAGTTCTACGGCGAGAGCGATGCCACGGTTTCTCCCTGTCGACGGAAACGTTTTCTGCGCGCACCCAAGGGGATAATGCGATGTAAAACAAGTACCGAGAACCGGATTAACATATTTCCAAGGAAAGCCGAGCACGGCCAGGCAGCTCCTTCCCAGAGGAAGCGTAAAACTGCGTGAAAACGCCGGACATCGAGGACGCGCGGCGTGGAAGCAGAAAACTCTCGCGAACGGTCGCTGTAAAATAGTCGTTGGAAAAACGATGCGCGACTTTTCTCGAGCACGACGAGCGAATAATAACGAAGAAACGTTCCCCGGCGAGGCTGACGCGAGTCTCCGCGGTGATCGACCGTTCCAGCGTCCCTCGTCGACGTTCTCGGGAGCGATTAGGTAGACCGGAAACCTTAAATTGCCGGAGTTTAACCGTGACTCCACCCTTCCGAAAGTTTCGTCGGCGTACGCGAGTCGCTTGCGAAGGGTGGAGACGGGAATCGCTGGAAACGGGAGAGGAAACGTCTTTCGACCGCCGATGAATGACCGATTTAAGATTCCTAGGAGACAGTTACCTGGCTCACGTGACTTTCCTCCTCGCCCGAATGGATTCCGTTTCCCTGCCTAGGCACGGTCCTTAGGCCGCTTTTCTCTCTCTCTCTCTCTCTCTCTCTCTCTCTCTCTTTCTCTCCGACCAGTCGACCGCGCCTAGCCGCGCCACGCCGTCGATGGCTGCCCCTAAATCTTTCTTCAAACATAATAATAGAGTTTGAAGACGTTCCGGCGCGCCACGGCGCTGTCGGAAAGTTTGATTAGCTGCCGCGGGGTGGATCGCCTCGTCGTTCGTCCGACAGATTGCTTTTCGCGGTCGATTGTCTCCGCGAGTTGCCCGCGGAATGCAGGGGAATGCAGCCTCGGGAACTTTTTTCATAACCACTCGCCGTTTTCGGTGGTTCCGAAGCTCCGACGAAAGTGAAACTCGGCGTCGGTTCTCGCGGATTCTCCGCGCACCGCGTCGTTTCGATCGACTTTTCGTAGGACGACGAGCACCGAAGAGATCGAAAAGTAGAAATCACTTTCTGCCTCCATCGTTTGCTGCTCGGACTCGACGCGACGCTCGATCCGCGCGATAATTGTACGCCGTTCTCGTTAACCGCCACGAATCTAATAATTGGAATGATCACGGTGCGTCGATAATTACAGCGTCTTTCGATCGGTGTTGTTTGCTTCGTACTTAAACTTTCGGCTCGGCATCGCGATGCCGCGCAACGCGCGCACGTTCGTCGTCTCTTTTTATCGTCGAGCAATTCTTTCTTTCCTTCGATCTACCGTTTCGAATCGTTTCAGCCCCATCGTTGTCCCCGAGCAACACGCTAACGGCAGACAATTTTCTGTTTCAGGCAACGAGGAAGATTTCAAAATGCGGATATTTGTTCGTCGCCCCGGGCTGGGACTTCTCGAACCCGCTGAACCGGACGAAGGTAAGCGGAAATTAATGAATCGGGAAGCCGGCATCGCTCCGGACGAGCTCTGTCTCCGTTTCTCTCGGTTCTCCGTCGGCCGCGTCGGTTCTGCCCCGGTGTATTCGCGACTGGTACCCGTGGACCAAGTTACCGCAAGTTACCGCAAGTTACCGTTCGCTCGGGCCCCGCGGAAGCGATCGAGAAACGATCGGAGGTGTAGATCGGAAATGCTACGTCGAGCCCATCGATCACTTCCGTTTCGATGCCTCGAGGGGTCGCGGCGCGTTATCGACGCTCTACGATCGGCCGATCGTGTTACAAGATCGATCGGAGCTCGCGCAATTTTCTCATTATCGAGAAAGCGGGGATCTCGGTACGGCATCCCGTATCGTCGACGGCTCGAAACGAATATCCTCGCGATCGTTCGTTCGTTTATTCTCCCCGCAAATACCACCGAGAGCTCTCCTTCCCGATTCCCGATTTTCGTCGGTTTTATTCGGTTCCACGGCGAGGCCCGCGGAACGTGACTTGTAAAATGCAAACACAGCCGACGTCGATCTCGGTCCGGTTCTTTTTCCTCGTTTTATATTTACGACCGCGAACGGATCTCGTTCCTTTCTAAACTTTCTCCCGCCAGCGACGTATCTACGATCCTTAACGCGTCTCGTATCCGATTTTTCCCCGCCCCGCGGACCCGCGGATCGATCGACGAATCGGCGATCTCGCGGAGCTGCAATTTCCCGCGGCTCGCGGCTCGCGGCTCGCGGCTCGCGGCTCCCAGGCCTCGGACGTTCATTGAAAACCGAGATTTATCGTATATCGACCGCCACCGCCGCTGCCGCGCCGACCCGCGAGATCCCGCCTTCTCCCTACCACCTCCCGCCATTCCTCCCGTTCCGCGTTATCGCGCACGAGACGACTTCTTCCGCACCCGGTCGTCTTCGTTACAGCGAAATTAGAGAAATCACGCCGGTTGATAAATGTCCCCGGCGCGAACGGCGTGAACATCGATGATCTTTGGCACGTGTTTCGGTCGCCAACTTCGGTTTTCAACTTCTTCCGTTACGCCGGGACAACCGACGTGTTCCAAATAATTGCAATCGGATTTTACTCGTTTATCGCGCTCGCAAACGGAAAGCGCGATAAAACGTGCGCGCGGATCCCGGCGAGTCTGAAATCGTCGAGATCTCTGTTCATTGTTATTGCAAATTTCGGCGATCGACTGTCTCCGATAACTTGAAAATACGTTTGTACGCTTCGGGAGAAAATAGCTGGCCGTTATCTCCATTGGTAAAACGTGCGCGATTCGCTGTTCCCGACGATACAATTTCGTCTTCGATTCCTTCATCGATTACGCTTATTGTTATCTTCGAGATAAAAGCTGGCTACCTCGAGCGCTGGCAAGTTCGCGCGAAACAGTTTGACTCGTTAGCCTCGATAGAATTCTACCGTTACCCGTTCGCCCCATGAATTTTTCCGACAAACGCGAAAAATTCGCAGTCCGGTTGCGCACATCGCTTCTGCAGAGTCGGAGAATCGCGCGGAGTCGCGGCAGAATACTCGCAGCGCGAGCGATCGCCGATCCACCTGCCGCGTTATCGATCGCATACCCCGCGATTCAACGCGGAAGTCGGGGAATAGCGAATTTAAACGATCGATTATCGAATCCCTCTGCCGCGCGGTGTTCTTTAAAGACGCGAGCCCGCCGGCTCGACGAGCCAAGGCTCGGCTCGGCGCGGTGCGACGAGAAACGCGCGAATAGAAAGCGGTTTCATGGATGACCGTGTTTGGCCTCGATCAACGGACTCTCCCTTGATTTTCTATGACAGCTGTGACCGGCCTTCCGCGAGTTTTTCACCGGTTCCACGAAGAATAGGGATTCCTCTTCCGGCCGTGGGTCTCGCCTCGTTCCGCGAGGCCTCGCGGGACTCTTCCGTCGCTCGTTAAAATCAACCATAATCTCCGCTTCTCCAGAGAAACGAATAAAATCGGACGCTCCAATTTTTCAACAATTAAGGTTACCGCCTAACGATCGTACAACCGCGTAACGACGGCAAATTAATAATCGCCGAGTAACATTCCGCTTTTATCCCCGGGTAGCAATTATCGTAAGCAGACCGGGGAATCTGGAGAAACTTACATTTTTATCGGATCCGATCGATAAAAACTGGACACCGAGAAGAAACTTCCCTCCACCTGTTATTACGGTTCGTAGAAGCTAAAAATTTGTTCGGACTTTTTCCGTTCCCGATAAAAGACCGCCGTTTAATCGAATGTCGGTACGCGGAAGAACTAAATATAATTAAAATTACGCGAAGCTTTTTCCTCGTCGACCGTCGCCGCGGGTGGCTCGCTCGTAAAACGGTCTACATTCTTTCGCGCGCGCGCGTTACAAGCTTCGGGTCTTACAACTTTTTCGCGACTTGCGGTCTCGTATCGCGAAATCTATCTTTGGACCGATGGACAAAACGGACGCGTTGCGTCTTATAAGCACATATCGAACGCGCGAAGTTACGCAGCCGGAGCGGCTCGGAGGAAAACGATGTTCTCCCGGCGAAAGGTCGTTAAATCATCGAATTATCTCGCCGGTAAAAATCCTTATCGCCGCGACGTGTCTCGCTTGGCAGATTCTCCGCGGCTCGGCTCGGCTCGGCTCGGCTCTGCGCGATGCGGCACGGCGCTCTCTTCGATCCCTGATGATAGATCCCGAGTGCTTAACTACCGACAGAATATTAATACCGGCTATATCGGGTACACTCTTCGCGCTAATTCCGAATGCAAACTTCGTCCATTAGGTCTAATAGGCATGTCCATCGATTCGATCGAACATGGCAGCATCGATTGCCGGCGAACGAAATTCAACGTTATCCGCCGGACGAAAATTCATTAATTGACGTCACCGGCAATCGAACTGACGAGGGGAACATATCGAACTTGCGTGCGCCGATTTTGATCGCATTTGCATAACGGATAGACCTCGGTAGCAGTTTCGTCGGCGATCTTTCTCGGCGAACCGCTGAGAATAAGATCGAACGAACGGTCGAAGCGTACGAGCGATATCATTTCCCGATGGTATTTTTTACGCGAAACCGTGCGATTTTTCTCAGTTTCGTGCTACGTTTCGAGAAATCGTGGCATTTCGTCGCGTCGTTTCGGGATTCTAATTCGGCAGTTGCGGATCGCCAGGATCGGACACAGTCGTTCGAGTCTTTTTCACCGTTTCGCCGGCGGTACGCGTTCGCGTCACGGTTTGATTTAACGCGGAGCACGGCAATTCCGCGGTCCGTGGCAGTCGTAAGTCGTAACGTCGTAACGTCGTAACGTCGAAGCGGCGTTAAAATATGGAAGGCGAGGAATCCTCGCGCGCGCAATAAAATAAACGAACGGATCGGGCCGGGCCGTTCCTCGTCGCTGTCGCTTTAATGCCCGTGGCGATAAGGAGCACCGACTACTCCGGGCCGATAAGGCCTCGTCAGCGTCGTCTTTTTAAGCGCGTTTCGTTGCATAATGCCGCGACCGAACGGGACCCGGTGGCTTTTCTCTGCCTCGAGCGCGCGGCTCCCTCGAGCGAATCGACAAAAATTCGTTTTGTATCGTCGACGTTGACGAGTCCCTCGGGCCAGGTCAGCGATTAGTTGCGTAACGAGCGTGACGGTGCTTCTACGCGACGCCGACGCGGACGAGACGAAGAAGTCTTGCTACGTCAGCGCGTCCGCTTGTTTGCCGATGCGCGCTCGAACGAAAATTGTTGACACGTGTCGCGCGTTCGTCCACCGATTTCCAGCCGGTGTTTTCGAAGAGGAGCAGGCGGCCGAACGGTGTTTACCGTTCGGACGATAACGTTCGTCGGTTTTCGGAACCGACGCCGACCGCGGCGCGCGGCGCGATCTCGTTGCACAATCGCGCACGCACGGTTTCGTTGCGTAATGCCGGCATACCTCGTCGTTAGCCCGGCTCTTTGTAGCCGAGAAAACAGCGTTATCAGGTGAAGAAAAGAACCGGCCGCTTTCCTTTTGTCGGCTGACCTCGTCCCACGCCGGCACGTACCTACGCGCGGTCAATTTCTGTTTCATCGAGCTCGATGTTCGCGCCGGCGCGGCTCCCAACAGGCCCCTCGATCTATCAGCTCCGCGAAATTAGAGACCAAAGCGTAGGCAAAGTTTAGCTCCACCCGGCGCACACTGCGCACAATAGACAGGTCGTGGTTAATTTATCGGCGCGCGAGAGCCATTGGACCGAAATTGGATCGAAATTGGATCGAATCCGCTTCGCACGCGCGCCAAGTTTCCCGGACGAGGACCGCACCGATGGCGGTGCTTCGATTCGATTTTGATCTTCGCCGGACTCGATTTATACGACGGTCGCCGTTGAAATTCGCATCGAATCGCGAATTCCTTGCGATCTCCGTTACGTCCGCGTTACGAGTCGCGAAGCCTCGATACCATCTAGAATCTAGACGCTATTTCTGGGCATCTTCGCGCACAGCGATCGCCGCTGATCTTTCTTGGTATTGTAGAACCGCTTGGACTCGCTTCATTAGGAACGCTTCCAAGGCCGATCGTCGCTCGCGTGCCGTCTCGTCGAGCGGTAATCTTCTTAATTGCGACTTCTGTTTCAAATTTGAACAATGGCTCCATTGAAGAATCGCGATGCAGCTTCTCGCGTTCGGCGCGCGATTTTCAAGGCCGCGAGCCTTACCGAACGCTGTACAAAACGTTGGTCGTCGATGCAACGCTTATCGGTAGACCGCGTACGCGTAGGTAATTTATTCGCGGCATGTTCGAGTTGGCAACGTTTGCGAGAACGCGCGTAATTAGAAAAACCAGCAGACTTTTATGCATCTGTCGCGGACGTAAATTTCTCAGAACATTTTTATCGCGCGAAGGTAGTATTCCTTTTACTTGAAATTTCTGACGAACGAACAGGCGTATCGCAATTGCAACCGTGCGAGAACCGCGCGAGTTCCATCGAGTTAAGCGATAACGGCCAATTTTTTCCCGCCAATTAACCCCTCGACG